CGTGGTGGAGGAAGAGGACATGGTGAAAGAGGAGGACGTGGTGAAAGAGGAGGACGTGGTGAAAGAGGAGGACGTGGTGGAAGAGGAGGAGGAGGTGGTCTAGGACAACAGGAAGGTGGTGGAGGAGGAGGAGGACGTGGTGAAGGAGGTGGAGGTGGAGAACGACGGCGACAAGGAAGGGGAAGAGCAAGGGCAAGAAGACAGTCAGTCTCGGATGAAATTCGAGCCACTTTAGTTGACCATGTCCTTGTCCATGGGATGACTATGAGGGAGGCTGGGCAACGAGTACAACCAAATTTGAGTCGCTTCACTGTTGTCTCCATCATCAGAACCTTCAGGGAGGAAAACAGGTAGGTGTACTTGCAGTAAGACTGCTTTGTACAGTAACGTTTAAGTTACTGAACTTATGTGTCTTGAGTTTCAGTATGTTTCCATTATTTGCCTGTAAAATGAATGTGTGACAGTTACAGTAATGAGTGCTTCTATTTTTGTAGGACACAGAGACGACCACCTGGTGGAGGCAGGTTAAGGCTTTTGTCGGAGGAGCAAGAGAGGGAACTTGTAAACATGGTAATTGCAAATAATGTAATCCGCCTGCAAGAGATTCAAAGGAGAGTGATTGAGGATGATCATCTTTTTCGAGGCATAAATGCCATCAGCCTCTCCACAATTGACCGCATCCTCCGAAAGAATCAATTCCGGATGAAACAGGCATACCGAGTCCCTTTCGAACGAAACTCTGACAGAGTGAAAAACCAACGTGTGGAATATGTTCAGGTATGAGTTTTGATACTGTATAAAGTATTGTGTACCATCACAGCATGGCAGTTTATGCTGCCATTTCAGCACTCTTGAACTGTGGTTCAGGGTACCGATTGACTCTACTGTGTTATGTGTTTTGCAGAGAATCTTTGAGATTGAAGGACGGCCTGTTCCCCATGAAATAATCTTTGTGGATGAGGCAGGTTTTAACCTGACCAAAAGAAGGAAAAGGGGGAGGAACATAATTGGCCATCGGGCTATTGTAAATGTCCCTGGTCAGCGTGGGGGGAATGTCACTATGTGCGCAGCCTCCTTTCCTCCTCCTTCACCACGTCCTCTTCCTTTGCATCTCTTTGGATCCATTGTTTCAAACCTGAATGAGCTGACTTTGGCCCTTTTATCTATCCATCGCAGGTTCTGATTGGTGTGTGCTAAATTTTGACTCCTAGTGTTTCCACCTGGTTAATGGTGTGCTAATTGAGCTCAAGCTATGCTGACTTAAGTTAACATTATTGCATGCTAGTGCTTTCTAAATGACTACATGGTGTAAGCACTGTGACATGTAGGGATTTGTGTGTAGAGTTTTGCAGTAACAGTTCACCAAATTTGAGTCATGTGTCAAAGCAGGGAATAGTGTTTATAGTTCAGGGAAATGGGTGAGCTTTTTGAACAATAGCGTTACGGTTTTGAAATTTTAGTTTAGAGGCCTGGTTATAGTGTTTAAGCAATCGAGAAAAACTGTAATACAAATAAATACATAAATACAAAATACCGTTGGCAGCAAGAGCTGCAGTCACATGTTTATACTAACTGATAATCATTGTTCGCGTCACTGTGGAGGAATTTTTCTCCACTAGTCTTTGCAGGATTTTTTTAAATTCAGACACAATGGACGGTCTGTTTAAGGTCATACTGCAGTGTCTCAATAGGAGTTAAGATTTTTTTTATCCATTTACAGGTGGACTTGTTGGTGTCATGCTGTATGCTGGCTGCATTCTGCATGTTTTCAGGCAGATGAGCTCTCCCTGGAGCTCTCACATGGAGGCCATTTTTTAAACTCTGACCTTATCTGAGCCGAGTGAGGCCTGCAGGTCTTTAGATCTTGTTCTGGGCCACTCCTGGGAAGGTTCACCACATTTACAACTTTTCTCCATGTGCGGATAATGTGTCTCACTGTGGTTCATCTAAGAAATTATATTTCTTTAAATAAATTAACCCTTTTATTGGAAGAAATGCTGAGACAAAGCAACAGAGAAAAACCTTGTTTTAGGACATTGTGCAGTTACTATCATTCATTTTAGCGATTTACACCCAGAATCACTGAGTAAATAACAAAAAATACAAGACACAGAGAAGTGAGAGTGTACTGTGTGTACACAAAATATACATAACCAAACCAAAAACAACAGGGCAAAGCATAAAATATCTAATATATATATTTTTTTGGTAATCCATTCTTTGAGATGTTTGTCCAAGGACTGTTGAATTGTCCTAATGACATTATATATGTTGGAAATTTTTTTCAGTGTGGTATTCAAAGGTTAAAAATAAAGTTCGGTGTAACCCAAAGATACCCAGACTCTACGAGCGCCGCCCTCACAGGAACAGATTCAGGTCCCAGACCTGAAACGCCACCTCTGTAAGAACTGAAGATGCTTCTTCGGCCTTTTGCATGTGTACAGATGAAGGCACCGTTTGGACACGTGCAGTCTTGTTCACAACTGAAAAGATTAAAAACGGGATTGGTGCAGCGTTGTCTGAGAGTTCACTATTCCTCAACATCAAAAGAACTAACCGAGGTTGTTCAACTATGATGCATCCTACACAACTCCTAGTAAAAAGCCAGGACATGTTGGGGTGATTACATCTCTTGGCTGGTTTGGGAAAACTTCAGTACTGTGTTGAGACGGAGGTCCATGCATCTCTACGCCTGCCAGCCAAACACAGAGAAGCTGCAGAAAGTGAATTGATGAGCATTTGTAACCAAAACAGACTGAAAATGTCCTGAATTTATAAATGTTACATGCATTACAGAGGTTCATAATAATCCTTAATAACCCTCTTTCTTTGGTAGTACAGCACTCATGGTTTTCATTAAGATTGTGTGCTGAGAAATCCATGTGTATCTACATGGATATATGTATGGAAAACCAACTTCAGCCCTCACCAACTCCAACCTCCAGTTGTTTCAAACAACAGTGGCAAACGATCAAGCCTTAAAAACACAGAAGTGCAAATATCCTTCGACTGCTTATTGGAAGTGAATCAGAGGAGGAAAAAAAAACTTCAAGCTTAAAAAAAAATTCATCCTGAGGTAACATTTGTTTGTTTTTGTTTTTTTGTAAACTGCTTCTGGGACTTGGATGCAACTTGTCCACTTCTGTTGTGTGGTAAAGGAGAAGCAGCCCACCAGTACTCCCAGTACACAGATCAATACACAGTAACACAAAAATGCATTTTTACTTTGAAATAAATATTCGGCATCTTGTAAGAATCTCAAAAATTCTCTTCAGACAGTAAGAAATGAAACAAATTACTGTTTGTAATATGAGCACACAGTAAAAGAAGTTCCAAAAAGCAAAGAAACAATTTTTAAATTGTATTTTTAGCCACTTTGTTATGAACAAGATGGCTCAAGTTCCCATTTCTTTGGTCGAATCTATGAAAATGCCAAAGATAACAGTTTGACAGGCATCAAAATCCTTTCATTGCACTAACAAGGTGATTCCCAAAGAGCTATTAACTGAAATGTTGGCATATCTCAGCATGGTGTGCAGTGTGCCCTTCAAAAATTTAGAAAGTAGACAAGTGGAGAACAAAAGAAGTGGAAGGCCTAAAAAAAACTATCGAGATCTGAGAGCTGCATCTGGACCTTCAGCTGATTATCTACTGTTCATCGAAGCCTCGTGGATGTTTTCAGTGGAAGGTTGGATGTCAGGAAGCCATTCTTAAAGGACAGAAACAGGGAGAAATGGCTGGCATGTCAAATAACACAACAGCTGCACAGAAAATCTGTGAAACAGCTCTGATGGAGTGATGAATCCAAATTTGAAGGTCAGGAGTGAGGTACAGCCATCTGCAGCCATTTGCAAAACACGGTGGAGGCTCTGTCATGGTTTGCATTTCACCCAGTGGTGTTGGAGATATTGTCAAAACTGAATAATGAACATCATGCAGTACTATCAGGAAAATATCTGGTTTTCAGCGGTTTCATTTCTCAGCATGACAATGATCCCAAGCACACTCCCAATGCAGTAAAAGCATAGCTGGATAGAAAAACACAGTGGAACACCATCAGTCATGGATGGGCCTCCCCAGATCCCACACCTCCGCATTACTGAGGGAGCACGGGATCATCTTGACAGAGAACAGAAAAACAGGCAGAGACATCCAAAGAAGAGATTCGAATGTTCTCCCTCTGTTGCTTGTGAAGCTCGCACACAAGAATTTCACTCGCATGTGCTGTACCAATGTACCTGCACATGTGATGTGACAATAAAAGTGATTTGATTTGATTTGATTTGATTTGAAGAAGGTCTGGAGAACACTTCCTGAGTAATACTGGAAGAAATGACAGAAACCGCCTGAGAAGGTTTAGGTGGTCAAACCAAAAACTGACTTTCAAGGTTCAAGGTTCTTTATTTGTCACATGCATAGTTATACAAGTATAACACACAGTGAAATGTATCCTGACACGCTCCTCGACATGTGCAAAAATGGGGGGGGGAGAGAACATTATATATGTATATGTATATATATATATATATATATATTTATTTATTTATTTATAGTATATACATTGGGTGAATGTGCAGTAGTAGCAGCAAGCAGGTGAATTCTGTACATTAATAAGAATAGCTCATTGAAACTGTTATTGGTCTAATATTCTAAATTTCCATATCAATAAATCACTGCACCAATTTCCCATTTCCCTAACAAAATATAAAGAAAAGGGGGCTGGTTAAAGACTTTTGCACAGTACAGTACATGATTAATTTATATTTAATTAACAGATTACAGTGCTGATGTTTGAATCATCAGCTTGCGGCTCAGTCTTGTGGTGAATGATGGAGTTTTATTTATGAAGCGCAGCAGATCAGCAGCAGGTGAGGCTTTTTCTAGTGCCTGTGAATCTTTACGTCGGGGCTTTTCTGCCTCATTTATGATAACACCGGCACCACCGGCTCACGTTTCACACCTCATTTAAATGTGTAGGCAGGAAACATTGTAAAACAGCAGGAGCACATTAATGACTCCTGTTATGTGCTTAAGAAAGTACACATATAATGCAGTGACTCAAGGATTGTGTGGGCCAGGAGGGATGAGGAGCCAACAAAGCATGTTTAATGAAGCTCTGGATGTCAGTTAAGTTACTGTTAATGGTAGATGAATTTCTGCACCTTGAGCATCCTGCTGTAGGCTTTATTTGGTTGTTGATTTATTTCTGACCCTTCACGTATTTAGTGTTTGACCTCTTTTGTATATATATACAGAGTACTATGGTAATCAGAGCAAGCTTTGCAGATGGTTTCTACAGTATATTCTGTGAGTCTTCTACAGAGATTCGATCTGCTGCAGTGAGAACATACAGCTCACATTCAACCACCATCCAAACCTGCTGTTCTCTGGGTGTCAAACACTAGTGCTCTGGCATTTCATTATTATTACTTTTTTACTTTTTCAAAGATAAACATGATGAACAACAAACTGCTTCTCCCGTTGCTCACATGGCAATCATCATCCCAGCAAATAAAACTCACAACTTTACATAAGAAAAGAAACTTCATCAATTCAAAAAACACCTCAATTAAAATTAGGTTCAATTTTATATACACTAGAATATTCATCTCAAAGCACCATATATCACACGGTAAAAACTCCAGTATTAGAGACAGAATCCCAACCACCAGACTATCCCCTATGAGCAGCATCAAGTGACAGTGGGAAGGAATAACTCCCTTTTAACAGGATGAGACTTCCAGCAGAACATGGATTTGAATGGACAGCAGTCTACCTCGACTAAGTGTGTGTGTGTGTGTGTG